CAGGCTGATTGACCAAATCCACAAAAAATGCAGTGCACTATCAGGGCGTCACCAAGTGACGACCAGAGGGCAAGAAGAGGCAGAGTTCCACTCCTACATGGCAAGCAGGTGTCATCCGTGGAGGCTCATCCAACTAAGCACAGGCAAGACTAAGAATTTCACATACTCTTTCCATTATGTTGGTGTTTAGGAGATATTATGACTCACCAACATAAAAATTTGTGGAAAAAGTACCCTGAGATTCGATTTTGTGAGATCGGGTTTGGTCGATGCAACGGTGTGGACCACACGTGGTCTACCACGAAAGGAAAAGGCATACGACCTCGTGTGCTGTCTCATGGTAAATAGCCACACTATACGGCAATGCCTTGGAGTTATTAATGGATTTCTCACACACCCCGTCCAAGGGATCCAATCTAAGCAGCGAATCAATCATGTCCAGAGGGGGTTTAAACTAAACCAAAGGGACCCACATTGCGCGATTCAGAAGGTACCAGCTATGACCATGCATAAAAGATGCTTCCGATGCAGGCATTTAGCAGGAGGGGATATGAGTATTATTTGTTTTAAATCCATCAGTTCTCATATTGAAATGGGCATCGGAGCATATTACTGCATGCATTTCAGTAGATTAAGTAAAACAATTGTTTGTACGATAGCAAATGCAGAACCACCAATGGCCCGAAACTAATCCCAGGCCGCTTAGCAGATGCAATTGATTCCTGAGCTGAAGAGATTGTTCTTCGAGACCATATCACAAGGGTTGCAGGGGTGAAGAAGTGTGCCATCGGCACTGAAGATCGCAATAGTGTGATGGATGCAGGAATCGCAGACTACTGTGTGACGGCCGTCAGGTGACCAATGGACGCCCTTGGCGTCGCGCGTCGATACCAGGACGATCAACACTCGGCACCACAAAGGGTCATTAGAGTCATGGATGTGCATGTAATTGCTCGTCTCAAAGCGTTCCAGCATGCAGGAAAGGCCAAGGGTTTTTGCAGACCTGCACAAATCAAACCGTATACGTTCTGTTGAATTTCGAGGATGGACCACAAATTTCAATATTGGAAGTCAAAAAATGAAGAAAGTAACACACTGAAAGCAAACAGTCATTTCTTCTTCCTTAGATCACTGATCTTGTTAGTAAATTTGGCAACACAGATCATTTCTGCTTATATTGATAAAGGCAGAGCGTAGACTAGCGTGTTACAAATCCCTCATGGGAAAAAACAATACATTCGACTAAACGCAACTACCAAGGAACATCAGCATGCTACAAATTTGTTAGGCATCGGTGTACTCTCAATAGGGATGCTGGTTTTGGAATTCTGCCAACAATTAGTAGGATTGCCTAAAGCTAATGTGCTACATAGCCATAAATGAGGCCTAACTGGTATGCTACAAGAGTATGACAACAGAGAACCAAGGATAAAGGGGATGAAGCGCGCTCTGAGCCGTTTCAAAAGAGATACCCACTTATTTTATAGGGACCAAACTATAAACTGCACACTAAATTTACTCGAAACAAGGAAATGCCGACCATCTGAAGTCCAATATGCATCTCCCAACACAAGACGCCTAGTTTCATCGATATAACAGTAGCAAATGCACTTTCTAATGAAAATATTTACCATAAAAAAAGAGCTAGTGCGAATAACCTGTAAAGTCATTTTTTGCTTAATTATCCAAAGTATGTGGTCCCAATCAGGCGATCACCTAACTTCGTCTATGCTGTCAATGCACTCACAGTGGTTGACAAGTTTAAAATCAGCTAATAAAATCAGCTAAACTTCGGATGGTCAAATTCGCTGGAAGTGCATGTGCAACAAAATGCCCACGTGGTGATAAACTAGCGACACGTTCATTCCAGTAGTAGATAGCAGACAGGCTCAAAACTGGCTGCAACGCACACGCGTCACATAAGGCACAAAGCCGGCAAGAGATATTCGCGTTTGAGATTTCCAGGAAACGACATACTTGATGAAGTAATACGCATAAAAGTAGTTATAAGAGTGCCTGAGACAAATATTTTCAAACAAATGATTTTAAAACGTTAAACACATATTCATCGTTACTTTTGACAATGATGCCGTCATTCTGGGTTTTGGTCAGGTAAAAGATGGTTTGGCCATCGCTTCCGTAGCAAGTGATCGTCATGAGCTGAGCAGTTAAGAGGAATTATCCTTTATTTTTATGCAAGGGAATGACCTTTAACTTCTAAAAGTCACAAGTTACTTAAATTTTTTATTAGTCTCCTTAAATTTGACAGACTGATCGAAAAAAATAAGTTAGTGTGCATGTCGACTTAGTTTGAAATTTTTTGGTGCATACAAACATAAAAACAAATATTTATATAAATAATGTCTAAAAATTTTTTAAGTTTTTACCTTTAATTATTTTTATTTTGTTTTAAAGTGTTTTGTTTAAGACAATGACGTGTTTTAGGTAACCGCCCTTTAACGCGGGCGATTTGCACCCCTCAAGACCAACTGAGGATGATAGTCGGGGGTGATGATAAGGCCTTTCGAAAGCTTGAATATTATTCCCTTGTTTCAAAAGTGTGCACTGAGTTAAACAATCACTTAGGATTAGAGGACAAGGCCTTGGGCATGTGATTATTTAATTTATTGCAATTTTAGCTGAATTTGTTATTCATTTAGCCAAGAAGAATAATACTTTCGAGAGCTTTAAGGATGCGCTTGCTAAGCACGATGCAGAGTTTTCGGTATGGTTTTCTTTGTTTCTAACGTATTAGGATGCGCTGATTGCTAGCATTCTACGACTAGTGCAAACGATGCTCCCTAATTTTTTAAAGAAAGCTTTGAAAAAGCCTCAAGATGGGCTATCTAAGAAGGGGGAAACTTTTGATGCAGACACCATAAAAGCTGATGCAACGACCAGGAAGAAGTTGGTTCCTGCTCTTTGTCTGCCAGATGAGTCAACAGAACAAATGGTATGCTTCCGATGATAAGCCATATAAACTCTTTTTTTAAGAATCGTAGACTTCGTGACGATGAAGGTGAAGCTGATCATTCAAGTGAATACTCACATTCCAAAGAAGGTGGAGAGTGTAAAGTGGATAGTCCCGATGTAGATGCAGCTAATATGATGCGGAATCTTGAGGCTCTGTTAGGCGATTGTCGTAAAGAGGCTGAAAGCGCGCAGAGGAAGCTGGGTCATGCCTCACCAAAGCGAGGGTACGAAATAATTATACGTAACCATAAATGCAGTAGTGATGGTCGATCTCCCCACCCGTCCACTCGTGGTGACCGTCGGCATCGAAGTCCACATCGGCGTTCGCATCGCGATTCAAGGTGAGGTTGTTGTTTAGATTTGTATTTTTATGTGTTCATCTTTGCTTATTTTTGCCACTTTTCCAGCTTATTCTTGTTTGCAGATCGCCCCGACGCAATAAATCGCCGAGTCATCGGAGCAATTGTCGTGACCGATCTCGTGGACTTGATCACAGATCTAGGGATCGTGATCGATCTGGATCATTCTCTTCGTCTCGACGCATTCGTCCCAAACTTAAATCCGAGCTCCCAGTGGAGCCCATTGTTGGAAAGGTTTTCCCAGGTCGCGTCACCAGCGTTCTCGCTTTTGGCGCCATCGTTCAGCTTGAGGGACTTCAGAAGCGATGGGAGGGCCTAGTTCATGTCTCACAATTACGTCGAGAAAGTCGTATTGGTAGTGTCAGCGATGTTGTACAGCGTCATCAAAAGGTTTATGTCAAAGTGCTATCTTTTACTGGAACTCGGACTAGTCTGAGTATGCGCGATATCAATCAGGAAACGGGTGAGGACCTGAATCCACCTTCAGCCAGCGCGGTTCCGTCTGACATTAGGTCACGTGACGAGGCCAGCCGACTTGAAGGTAGCAGCGGGATGAATGAGGATGGGGACGACTTTGGTGGACGTAATCCCGATAGACCATTTGAGGAGCCTTCTTCCATGATGGGGCTTCGGAGAGACGCTCTTGAGGATGATTTCGGCCCGAAGAGGAAGATTCAACGTATCAGCTCCCCTGAACGCTGGGAGTTTAAGCAGATGATAAGTGCTGGTGTTATAGATAAGTCCGAGCTACCTGAGTTTGATGAAGAGACGGGCCTCTTGCCTAGAGAGGACGATGAATCGGATGAAGATATTGAAATTGAGTTGGTGGAGGAGGAACCGCCTTTCCTCAAGGTTCGCCATCTTCCCATTGCTTGCATTGATTATGCCTTGTATCGTGCTTTGGATGGTCAGTTAATTATGGTGAATGGTATTTTTCATAGTTCTGTGTGCAGGGCAGTTATTTTACATTAATACTTCGGCGTAGTTTTTACAAATCTTTTACTCTGCCCAAGGTCTTTGTCAACGCTGACTTATGTGGGTACATTAGGTGCTAATTGGTACAAATGCAAGTATTTCACTAGTTTCTAACCATCGTTCATCTGAATGCACTTGATAATCATGATCTTGGTAGTCTCTTATGCTAGCAACTGATTCTGAAAGCAAAATTTATGGCAACTGCGACATTTTTCCATTTTTACTCAATGTGAAGTTTTTTCCCATCCAAAAGTCTCCTGTCGAAATTATTATCCCTACATCCCTCTTCTGCTAGCAAGTCACATGCTCTGGAATGTCATCTGTTGCCAATTTTTTTCCGGTCGATCTATCTCTAAGATTCATCTTTTCCTTTGTCTTTAGGGTCACGGCCGCCACGCTATGGAATTGTCCCCTGTGAGAATAGTCAAAAACCCAGATGGTTCACTGCAGCAGGCTGCCATGATGCGCCAAGCACTGCAGAAGGAGCGTCGAGAGGAGAAGCAGCAGGAGCGTCAAAATCAACTTAGCAGCGAACGCGCCACTGCCCACGAGCGCATGGGCAAGGAGTGGCAAGACCCCATGGCTGCAACAAGTAACTCAACTACTTCTACTTACAATTTTTGGGTAGTAGTACTTTTTTGCTCCAAGTTGCGTGCTCTTGTCTCTGGTCTAAAATCACTTCAAAGTCATGCGGTGAAGGTAGTAATTTTCAATGAAATACAAGTAAAGTTATTTTAATGATTTTGATACTGCGATTCTCTTCACAATCATTGATAATTGGTCGGCATAATTAAATGTTATTCGGTCTGCATTTGTATACGCAACTTGTCAGCGCTACATATTGGTAATTTTGATTGGGGCAGTAGTATGTAAGTGTATTGTAATAGTTGTTTCATTTTCAAATGATCTCTAAAACTCTACAAGCTGTTAACATTGTATCAGTACTCCAAAACCCTAATCTATACAGATGATTGTAACTAGAGAATGATTCCGTGTTTTGACGTTAGCAAAGTAGTCTGCCAGGAAAGTCTTTATCGATACTATCAAAAAAGCACAAAACTTTATTTCACGGGGCCTCAGGTTTAACAATACTAGTTGTATTATTCATGATTATGATTTGTCTTCTACCAACAATGGAAGTTATGTGGCGAGCAGACGCTATTTTTGCCTATCTACCTTTAGTGGGAAGCAAGCCCGTGGCTCAGACTAGTCGCACGGTCGACCAGTTTAAGGATGTGCCCGAGTGGAAGAAAGCGGTTCACGGTGCAAGCACTCGAACTGGAGCTATTGGGAAGAAGATTGTTCGCTCAATCATTGAGCAGCGCCAATCTCTGCCCATCTATAAACTCAAGGATGAACTGTTGAAGGTGAGTCCTCTTGCTTGAGCCTTATCAGTTTCTATGCTTATAAAACCTTTACTCATTATAAGGTAGGGAACTGGTATCACTTTCCCAGTGCTTACGGTGATATACCATTTAAGATTCCGGTTAGCGTGAAGCCAAAGCAACTGTGAGTCCTGTTGTAGGCTTTGAGAATGCCATTTGCTTTCCCAATGGCATGTAACTGGTTTCACCATGATGCCCATCATGGTAGTTCAAATCTCTTCACAAAATCGCAAAATGTTTGCGGATGTAGTTTATCTTTCATTACTGTTCTAAGTATATTCTAACTCACGAATTATTGTTGAAATAGTATGTCTTGCAATCACCATAAACATTTGTCACCGGTCTTTGTTTTCAATTGGACAAACCTGCTCATACGCAACATGGGAGCCCTAGACTCATAGATCGGATAGTTGACACGTGAACATTTATCTTCAGAAAGCGAGGTAATGGTTGCTTTGGCTCGCGATAGCAAGGTTTTATAGGTTTTTGTGAGTCGATTGCCAATTGGATGAAACGATGAAATTTGTATGCTTCAATTATCCTTCAATGCTCGGGTCGTGTGCTTACCGTGAATTTTAACTTAAATGTTCTTTTTCTTTTGATAAACCACGTGAAATATTAGTTGGACTTTTTACCTGATAGCCAAAAACCCAAAAAATTCCTGCTTTCTAGTTTTTTAGAGTAAATGCGTTCAATTTAATCCATCGCCAATTGTTTTGCCTTTTGTTTTGGATTAACTTTTACCACTCTTGACTTTGTGCTCGAAAGTTTTTAGAATACTTATTATGCACTGCATAGTTTGCGCGGTTTTTTGTTTTACAACTAGCAGTGTAGCATATTTGAAACTAGGGATTCACGCAGGTATAAATTATTTGTGAATATAATCTAATACTGTCAGACTTTGTTTTAAATAAAGGGAACAGTTGCATTAAATCAGTCTTCGCAAATGGGAATTTCTTCACAAATCCTTGTCAAAGTACAGTACGTGAAATAGGCTCACTTGACCCCCCACCCCTCCACTCGTTGTGAAGGCGCCAATTGCGATGCATTGTAGCCAGGGTGTTGCATTTGGCTCTAATGTCTCATTTTTTGCCCGGAAAATTGTTAGTTTTTAAACCAGTACAGTTGTCATTTCCCTCCCGCCTTTTGTCATCCCAAGGCTCTTTAAAAACTGCACAAATAGTGAAATGTGATATGGCCAAAGTATGCGGCAAGTGTGGTGGCCAAAGTTATCATATTTGATATGGCAAAATGTGTTCCACAATTCAGCGAAAACCTGTTTCAAACGACCAATCTTGCTTATTGAGTATGATTTTTGCATCAGTGAGCAGCTTCGAAATGCGCTTTTTCCCTATTAGTGGGTGTTTCAAACATGTGCAGCCAATCATGTAATTTTAATATGGTTGATTTCAGGGCTCTAAAGCGCTTTATTGTGGCTTAAGTGGTCGTTTTTAATAAACAGACCAAGTTTTATGCATTTCAAAAAACTGAACCAGCGGCTCCGTGTCAATTGTCTCACAACTGATCTTCATTTCTGTCTTCTATTAACATCTTCGAATTTTATAATTAATACTTTTTTGATTCATCTATCCGCAATTAAATCTGCGATTTGATGAAGCTTCTAGTTCTTGCTAATAATCTAGATTTCGTTTTAAGCTATTGAAATCAACTGGAAATATTTTCTTAACTTTGGACTTGAATTGCAGTGCTTGTTGGGCTTATTTCTGATTACAAAACTATACGCTGAAGACTTATGTGTGAGTGGTCATAATTGTAGATAAAGTTTCCACTACCTTGTATTAAAACCTAACTAATTAGCGTTTTTGCATTGTATGGAATGAGGATCGGACACTATTTTTTGTAGTACTTGGGCTCACCTTTTCATTTCAGAACAAACACTTAAAATTGCTCATAATTGAAGCATGGTGTATGCGATGGGGTGGTTTTTTAAATCCTAGCTTCAAAGTTTTTAAATTGATACTACCTTTCAGAGTTTGCTTTTGGCCGAGTCATCTATTTACCACTTGGTTTTTGTCTGTTTCACGATATTTGACACTCGAAAGTCGTCGATTGGTTGTGACAATTATCCCATTCGGTCCGAGTGGATTCGATTTAATAGGGTTCAACGCTAACAAATTGTGCTTATTATTCCATTGCTCAGGCCATTGAGGAGAACAAGATACTCATTGTGATTGGTGAGACAGGCAGTGGTAAAACTACACAGATCACTCAGTACCTTGCGGAGGCCGGCTATACCACAGCAGGCCGCATCGGCTGCACCCAACCCAGACGTGTGGCCGCTATGTCCGTTGCTAAACGGGTAAGTCGCCCCCTCCTCACCTCCCACGCACGACCCTTTCCATTTTCCGTCCATCGTCCTAAATGGATCTCTTTTCTCAGCGTATCCAACATGCATATTTTTGAGTTGACGCTGACAAGAGCAGTTTAAAGAATGAGAAAAGCGTTGTTTTTTTGAGTTTTGAAACAAATGGCTACCAACTTCCTTCATTATTTTGCTTATGCAGAACGCAACCCACCACCCCTACTCTAATGTCACTTAAGATGTGGGTCTCTTTCTTATGCGTTGTGGTTGATAACGTGTGCGTGAGTTGGATAATCGGTCGGTTAAAGTATTAAACACCTGTTAGAGTTCTTTGTCTCCGGAACCACTGATTATACGGAGAAGAAAAAAAGTCTTTTAAACAATTAGAAATGGTCAATTATTTTAAAAGAGTAATCTATTTGTTACTCCATGTGAGCACTACCTCATGCCTGTAGAATGTGGACGAAACAATTATTTACTTGGGTTTGTGCGTGTTGGTTGCTCGATAGCTATTTGCAGTTCAGGTAGTTGAAGTGTAATTCTTGTTCCATGGGGCTAGCTTAATTCGCAGCTTTAACCACTCATTAATCATTATCTTTACTAAAGGAAATGCAGTATTAAGTGCGTGTAAAATTTGTATTTCGTGAGCAAGTGTTTGGGTACAGTTGTCGACACAATTAAGAATTCCCACACAGGTGTGGAAGGTGTCAGCCACACTGAAGGGAATGCTGAATCGTTATAAACGATATAACCTCCTTTAGGTAGAGGCTGTCCATGAAACTATTAGGAATTAAGGCCGGTTTTTAAGTACAAAACGTACTTAATCCCATAGCTTCTATTCCGTACCCTTGATTAGTACATTTTTGATTTACTGCCACGTTGCTTATTGCTCACGTTCTTTTTATCGTTGCATCATTATCGCTTTGCCAGTGTTTTTGTCCACATCAAAGTTTTTGTGCAAGCTGAAGTTGGGAGCAGCTGGTTTTCATTTAACTGACGCGCTGCTGGGCGCGGTTTCCAGACCCTGCAACTGTTTTAAAAGTGAGCTGTTATCTGATTACATTGAGATTGTGGGTTGGATGATGTATCACCTAACTGGAATGACGAGCACGTTTTCGTACTCCCTCTCATGCGTGGGTGGGAAGTGCCTCATCCATCTGCCTAATCAGCCGCATTATTTATGGCAGCAGTAAAAATAAGGACAAACTATCATGAATTCACCATTGCATTCATTGTATCTTTTTCAATTTGTAATTTTAATTCTCATCCAATTCTGTTTTCTCTGTGGGTAAATTATGCGGAGTTGCGACTTCAAATCTATTTACATATGCCTTCATGCAGACCAACTCCATAAGTCTATTAATAGCCTTTTCAGTTTCTCTTTGGAATCTAATGTCATATGATTGGCCTCGTGAATTGTATTTGTATCGGGTGGATTTTAAGTTAACAACGTTACTGATTAATTTTGAATGATCTTGCTTTTTTAAATTCAATTCATTGCATCCTTCAACCCACTGTGGAATAAACAGGAAGCTTCTGAACAATAGACCTGTCCTGTTCCCTTGTTTTCGTAGCACTGCGGTGCCTGAATGCGAGCTTACGTCCGTGGTTGTCTTCTTTCATTTGTTATCTAGGGCATTGTTGACTTTGTTTTACCGAAAGAAAACTTAATTTTTTCTTCAGATGTTATCTCATATGACCAGATTGTCTGTCACGCTTTCACTATGCTCCTCTTCCATAATCGAGGGGCTGTTACCCCTTTCCTACGATGTTTTACTGGACGTCTTGCCTCCAGCATAATTTATCTAGAAGGAAAAATACTAATAAGTTTACGTAGTCCTGGATTTGTGTAGTCAACAATAATTTTTTCATTAAAAATTTAAAACTATGGAATTTTTCCGTTTTTGTTTCTAAGCTTGTAAGCTAAATCAAATAAAAAAAAAATATTTGAAGGAATTATTGCCTGATACTATATTGTTAAATAATTTAGTACGCATCTTGGAGAAGATAGTCGATTCTTTTTATTATTCGTTTACATGTAGTTCATTTTGAAATGCCTCCTATAGC